GGCGTGATTTGACTTGAGTTGCAACAAGAAGTCAGCAACTTCTGACCGCGATGTATTCCCCAAAGGGGCAGGAGCTGGGTCACGGCGTTCAGGCTCACTAGCCTGGCTGCTACTAGCGATACTCTGGGTCGTACAAGCGAGCTGACTGACTTCTTCTTCCTGAGGTTGTTGGTGAGGCACAAACTGAGGGATGTGACCATGAATCTTAACGTGACGTTTCATGTAACGTACTTGCGTGAAACGTGCAGGACATGACCAACATTTGATGGTAAAGTTTGGCAATGTTTCATGAAACCTGTTATGGTCCAAGAAAAGCTTGCTATCATGGTGACGGAAGGCACAAAACTTGCAACTGAACATGGCTGTCTTGAAATAAAATCCCAGACCTATGAAGATGAAATGTGATTAGATTTGGTTATAAAACATGAAAACGAAGTTGCTGTCATTATTAAAAAAAAAAATGATATGAAAACTAGACTCGAACTGCAGCAAACTGATGTGCTCTGGGAAATTTCGTTATCATATGACTGAGAAGGAAGCCCGAAGCATTACTCATTTCTCAGTTTATCTTATTTATCTTTTATATTTTTATTAATTCCAACCAGCACATACTTGAAATTCCTTCCTATTAGGGTTATGATAATCAAACTAAGACAGGTACCAAGGTCAATATAAGAAGCGAAACACAAAACACGTGGTGATAAAAGTAAAACAAATGGTTAATAGCAAACAAGCACAATCAAATAATAGCAGAGAACCACAAGTCACAAGATAAGAGACATGGTTACATGCAAGAAATATTATCTAGTCCAGCGATGTTAAATTTTAGTGAATTCAGGCACGATCCCAGAGTAAAGTACATAAAGATTGCCCTGAATACTATTGAGATCAGGGCCTCAATCCAGACTGGAAAACATCCATATGCTACGCCGGACGCCCGTGAGACCATCTTGCGCCGAAATTCGGCGCAAGATGGTCTCATGTGTATGAAGGTGTATTAGGTGTTGATTGTGCATTTTTGCTGAAAGGTTCTACTGTGGCCATGTAGAAGTAATCGCTTGCGCCGAAATTCGGCGCAAGCGATTTTGCGCCGAAATTTATGCGTGATTTGCGCCAAACAATTGACCCCGTTCTCTCCTAAATGGGAAATGGGAGGACCGAAGTTTCCAATACCTAAATGGAAATGAAATGAAAGGCCTGAGCTATGTCAAACACCTGGCAATTCATTGTTTACCTTCTACATGGCCACAGTAGAACCTTTCAGCAAAAATGCACAATCAACACCTAATACACCTTCATACACATCAACAATACTTGGCTAACATAATTTGACATTCCATATCAACACCTCATACAACTTCAGACACATCAACAACACTTAAGCATGGTTAGCTAACATATTTTCAGGGGCGCCGCCACGCTTTTATGAGCACTACGTACACCCGCATGCAGGTTAGTGGTAGGCTCAGGCACGACACCCAGGGTGGGATGAAAATTTTCCCAAGTTCCAAGGTGCCTATTTATAACATCACCAAAACCTGAAAACTCTCCGGATTCGTCCCACTGATTGCCGAGAAGTCAACATTTTCATTAAAAATAATACAAAATGAGTAAAACGAATGATCTAATAAACACCCAGCTGACCAAGGGAAAGACGGCTGTCCCTTCCGTCCCTCCCTTGGCTTCGAACCGATTGCAGTCTGCAGAATGATGTATGTAGTTACAGTTGCACTTACACTATGGGGGCCTGGGGCAGAAGCATGCTTTTCCAGCCGGAGAGTTTGTGATAGTGAAAATTTTCTTCGGGACCACCTTCATAAATAGCAATTTCGACTGTTATTTGAAAACATTTGTACAACTATTCTGTAGTCAGATTAATCCGAAGTCCTACTTAATCCTTTTGTCTGTTTAGTCGAAATGGCTTGAATACAATAAACAAAACAAAGCAACTCAGATTCAGACTGTGTATTTTCATGTTACCTATGCAACGTCGAGTTACATCTAGGTATGAATTGGTATGAATATACCCTCAGTAGGTACATACCGGGATATACCTTGCCTCTGGCTCTGCTTATGAAAAAAAAAAATATTTCGGTGTCACCGCCCGCGCATAACATGAAGGCCACTACACTCACTACAGCCTACTCGACCAACGTCCCAATCAGGTAGCACTGGTCCCTGCTAAGTCCTACATCTTTCCGAAGGTGCTGGCACGAGTCGGATTCAACGCCACGAACTCTGCGGCAACGGCACGTGGGTTGACATTGGCAGCCCGATCCTTGTGGACGTGGAGGACTGCCACATCATTAAGCCGCCGCTGCGTCATGCTTGATCGCATCCATGTCTTCAGGCGTCGGAGGGAGCTGAATGATCGCTCAGCTGTGGCCGAGCTCGCAGGCAGGACCAGCAGGAGACGCAGGAGACGTTCCACGTTAGGAAGAAGCGACCGGGCTCCGCCATTCAGCTCGCGGAAGGCGCTGACCACCTCTGGTAGGGACTGGAACCTACGGTCACGCAGGAACACCTGAAGCTCCGAAGCCAAACCTTCGTCCAGCTCCGGCGGCCACTGATCCATGCAGCGGCGCGCGTCTTCGACGCATCTTGACTGCGGTGTCTCCTGGAGCACCAGACTCTCCAACACCTTGTACTTGGCGATACCATCACCCTTGAATCTCTCCCGGAGACCGGCAGATGTGGTGTCCAGGAACGCCAAGTACTCGGTTCGCAGCCACTCTTCGGGAGACTGTGCCTGGTATGCACTGGCCGGTCCGGTGAAGCGCTTCGGTGGCTTCTTCATCCGAGGGGTTTCAGGAGCTTCCAGAGACACTGAACTTGCTTTCTTTAGCAGGGTCTCGATCCGCTCATCCGCATTGTCACGGAGCGTCTGAAAAACGGAGATGGTTGCGTCCACCATCTCGACCAGCTCGGTCACCGTGCAGGTTGTCCGCTGCGCCTTCACTGTCGCCTTCTGCAGGGGCTCCAGCACGGAGCGTGACAACCCCAGCGCCACGTAGGTGTTGCTCTTCGAGAAGATTTGTAGAAGTCCGTGCGCTCGGGCAGCGACATGCCCCTGTGACTCACTTGTTTCTTGCAGCGCACTCAACACTTCTGGGTACTGGTCAAGGACGGCAGACACAGCCTGTAGGCGGACGGTCCAGCGGGTCGGGCAGAGTGGGCGCAGCTTGGTCGGTGAGACGCCGCCTGACTGACTGCATATGTCCTCAAATTTGGAACGCAGTTTTATGGACTCGGTGAAGAGAACACCGAGCTCATTTACCGCAAGCAGTGCATTTCGGATCACAGCTGATGCCTCGGCACTGTCTTTTACAACGAGATTGAGGCAGTGGGCCCCGCAATGTACATATAGTGCCAGAGGCTGTTCGGCCCGCAGGAGTGCCTGGGCGCCCCTGAACTGGCCCTTCATATTTGCTGCTCCATCAAAGGCCAGTCCACGGAGGTGGTCAATGGAGAGACCCAAGCGCAGCATCGCATCTTTCATCATTTTTGCCAGGGCCTCGCCAGTCGTCGATGGTGGTTCGTAGAACCCTATGAACTCTTCGAGCACATCCAGGTTTGGGGTCACATATCGGGCGCAGATGGCCTGCTGCTCGACGCCAGAAACGTCCTGACTTCCATCCACGATCAAGGCGAACGGCGTGGGTCCACCCGCTGTCATCTCCTTGATGATGTCACGCAGCACATGGTGGCTCATCAGCCCCAGTAGCTCATTCTGAATGTCCGAGTGAAGGTAGTTCCTGCTTCGCTTCAGCCATTCTCTGATAATATCAGAGTCATCTGCGCGCAGCTCCAGTAGCTCCCGCAAGTTACCTTCATGAGACTCGTGGCCGCGCAGCGCTAGCCCCTGTCGAGCTAGCAGCATTATGCTGGTGATGATCTTCTGGAGTGCCTCCGCAGCTTCTGCCTGGGACTTGCGAGTGGCTGAGTTCATGGCGGTAAGGATCGGCTTTTGCTTGACAAGAGCGGTGAAAGCGTCCCTGTGATACCTGGAGAGCTGGTGTCCCTTCAGCAGCTTGGCTCCGTCTTTCCAATTGCCAAAACCATCACGCGTGAACGCCCGTTGCAGGCATGGTGCATCCGGGTGCTGTTGCTCGAAAGTTCTGCATATCACGCAGAACACTGTCTGATTCTCTTTGCTGACGTCTATCCACGGGTACTTTTCGTACCACGCGCTCACAAAGCCGTAGCTTCTCCCGCACATGGTCTTCTTCGGAATTGAGGATGTGGCTGGATGATTACATGGAAACGGCATCGCACCGGCCCCGGAGCTACTTGCCCGCTCACCTTGTGCGGTGGCTGGTTCTCTCAGCTCAGCGGAGAGATGCCCGTGGACTGGAGCGGGACGTGTCGGCTCGGCGAGCTGCCCTGGCCGTGTCGGCTCGGCGGGCTGCCCGGACCGTGCCGGCTCGGCGTGCTGCCCAGACAGTGTCGGCTCGGCGTGCTGTCCAGAGCGTGTCGGCTCGGCGGGCTGCCCGTACCGTATCGGCTCGGCGGGCTGCCCGGACCGTGTCGGCTCGGCGGGCTGCCCGGACCGTGTCGGCTTGACGGTCTGCCCGTACAGTGTCGGCTCGGCGGGCTGCCCAGAGCGTGTCGGCTCGGCGGGCTGCCCGTACAGTGTCGGTTCGGCGGGCTGCCCGGACCGTGTCGGCTCGGCGGGCTGCCCGGACAGTGTCGGCTCGGCGGGCTGCCCGGACAGTGTCGGCTCGGCGGGCTGCCCAGAGCGTGGTTCGGCGAGCTGCCCGGACCGTGTCGGCTCGGCGGGCTGCCCGGACCGTGTCGGCTCGGCGGGCTGCCCGGACAGTGTCGGCTCGGCGGGCTGCCCAGACAGTGTCGGCTCGGCGAGCTGCCCAGAGCGTGGTTCGGCGAGCTGCCCGGACCGTGTCGGCTCGGCGGGCTGCCCGGACAGTGTCGGCTCGGCGGGCTGCCCGGACCGTATCGGCTCGGCGGGCTGCCCGGACCGTATCGGCTCGGCGTGCTGCCCGGACCGTATCGGCTCGGCGTGCTGCCCAGAGCGTGTCGGCTCGGCAGAGGATTGTGTCGGACCAGCAGAATTCGTCGGCTCGACTGCATCAGAGTGCCTGAGGGACAGGATCGATGGGATCCGGAGGAGACCGGGAACCGGTTAAAGGAGCAATGGGATTCGCGTTAAAATGCGAACAAAATGATCCATATGTACAAGTATATCCCGCGCCCCAGTGGCGGTCTCAGCCAACTTCGCCCTAGTGGGGGGGGGGGGGGCATATGTTACCACCCACCTCTAACTCAAAAACTAAGAGGGATAGAAAGACGCGGTAAAAAGCAGTCGATAGCTCTCAATGTGTACGTTTGAAAGTATTTCAGTCATTTTTCACCTTAGAGCAATATTGGGGTCACCAGAGGTCATCAAAGGTCAAAATTTGCCAATTGTCATGATATTTTTCAGAAAACATGCCGTTATCTCAGGAACTATGGTAGCTAGAAAACGCATGGAACAGCAAACGATAGCTTTTGAGCTCTTCTTTTGAAAAGGTCATTATCAATATTGACCTCAGGTCAACGGTTTAGCCTCCAGAGGGCAAAAACTCCAAAAATAGCTGTTTTTACGAAAAGTGTTTTTCGACAATAACTTTTGACTACAAAAAGCCACGGCATTTCTATTGCCAGAATCATGTTCCCCTCGCCGAGACGCGTCGAATGAACTATAATTTGACCTTGAAAGGTCAACTTGAAAATTTGACCTCAGGTCAAGGTCATGACCTGACCGGAAAAGGTCATGTTGCATATCAGTCGATGCGTCTCAACAAGACAAACACAATGAGACCATCCCCAGCGTTCTATCTCTTTCCAATCGCGAGTTATTGGCAAAAAACTGTTTGTAGCCTCAAGTGACCTCAGATGACCTGTCTAGAGGCTATCAGCAAAAATGACACCTTGGTCATCACGAGTGGACTAAATCATTGTGATTCTGAAATATTTGGACTGTTCCTATGCGTACACACGGATCTAGAGGCATTTTCATTTTTCTCCATTGCCTTATAATGGTAAGGTCACGCCACTGACCTGACCTTAGGTCACGGATATAAAAAATCCGAGATATACAAATTGTAGGCGCCCATAACATCATGCAATCCACCAAGTTTGAAACCTTTCTGACAAACACTGCAGGCTGGACATGATTGCAAACTTTTTTTTAGGCTTGGTCAGTTAACTTGACCTGGTGACCTGACCTGACATGACCTGGGGTCAAAAATTACACACATTGTCCAAAATTGATGTACAAAAAGCTACCCCAAGCGGCGCGGCGCTACGCGCCGCGCTTTTTTATTTACACGCGAAAAACGCGACAGGGTGGTAACATATGCCCCCCCCCCCCCACTGGGGCGAAGGATATATTTTACATGATCAAGAAGTGCATACGGTAGAGTGAGATGAGAAGAATTGTGTTGAGCGCGGATCACATTTAGGTGGGGAACAAATTTAGTTAAGCCAACTATCTCATTTACCTAAGTCATTGGAGTCCAGGCATTACCCCCCCCCCCGACTTAACCGTGTCTCAAACGGTCAAATGACCACCGTCCACCACCAGTGACTCGGAGTAGAAAAAAAGTATCGCACGCGATAAACTCACGTTCTTCTTATGGAGACTAGGGTGTTTCAATAAACTCGAAATTTTCCGGATTACGATGCGCAACCCCACAATCGATTTCAATGCACTAAAAAGTAACCAGGCCAAAATTTTAGACCTCTAAGTGCATATCTTCAGGTCGCGCAGGGTGACGAAAGTTTCAGAACGTTTACTATGGAAAGGAGGAAGGTCGGAATGGGAGGAAGGTCGGAAATATTGCATAAAATCATACATGAGTGATACGGAGTCTCGCAGACTACAGGTCACGGTGCAGTTTTGGCTCTCCGTTTCCTGGAGCAGCAAAGGCTAGGTGCAGAAGAAAAAAGTACCGGAAAATTCTTATTCATCCTGCATAGCTACGATAAAATTGGCAAAAACGGCCAAAAAACGGTAGAAAAAAACGTGGTTAGTCAGGGTGAATAAGAATTTCCCGGTACCTACTTTTTTCTTCTACACCTAGCCTAGCCCGCGCCGGGCCGGTGCTCTGAGATTCCGCGCCGGGCCGGGGGGGGGGGGGGGTCTGAACACCCCCTTCTAACTCGGCTCCTGGGCCACGTAGCGACACGCGGTAAGCGGCAATCGAAAGAACGTCCAAAATAAGGAAGAAAACACTTCGGTCATTTTTTGGGTCAGGTCAAAGGTCAGGTCACCAGAGGTCATCAAAGGTTAAATGTTGACTATTTCAACATTTTGTAAACTGCCAACGGCTATCTCAGGAACCGATAGAGCTACAGCGCCGCGGAAAAGCGCATTCGATAGCCCTTTTACAGACCTTTCTGGATAATGCCCTCAGATTTGACCTCAGGTCAACGGTTTAGCCTCCAGAGGGCAAAAACTCCAAAAATAGCCGTTTTACGAAAAGCGTTTTTCCTGCAATAACTTTTGACTCGAAAGAGCCATGACATTTCTTTTGCCAGCATCGTGTTCCTCTCGTCGAGACACGTCGAATGAACTATAATTTGACCTTGAAAGGTCCACTTCAAAATTTGACCTCAGGTCAAGGTCATGACCTGACCGGAAAAGGTCATGTTGCATATCAGTCGATCCGCAACGTCGAGCCGAACACATCTAAGGCGTTTTCAGCGCTCTAGCACGCCTCTATCAGAAGTTATTAACGAAAAACGGTTAGATTCTGTTCGTGACCTGAGATGACCTCTGGGACATAACGAGGGGTCACGGTTGCCATTTTCCGGTTCAGTGTGTCAATTTTACCTACATCTCGATGTTTGAGAGTGTCTAGAATAGCGTTCGTGCAAAACAGACGCTTTTCAATTTTCTCCCATTGACTTATAATGGAGAGGCCGCAAAATTGACCTGAACTTAGGTCACCGATATCAAAATTCCGAGATATACATTTTATAGATAATGTTGCTCTAACCAATCGCTGAAAGTTTTAAGGCAATCGATCAATCGGTGTAGCTACGACGAGCATTCTTATTTTTTCTGAGGTGAGGTCACTTGGCGTGACCTGGTGACCTAACCTAATGCGACCTAGGTCTGAAATTTTCACAACATGTGCGGAAAAGATGCACGAACAGGTGTGCCAAGAACGGCGGCGCTCCGCGCCGCCGTTTTTGAGATATCTGCGAAAAACCGCAGGGGGGGGGATGTTCAAACACCCCTCGGCCCGGCACGGGCTAGCCTAGCCTTTGGATTGGAGAAGGACCGTACGTACCTCTGAGCCCGGTAAGCAGTCCTTACTCCTTACCTTTTCTTAGCTGCCAGTCTGAGAAAGTGGTCCATTGGACCCTGCAGCTTCCGTTTCTTCATTCTCCTTACAGCAGTCAACGGACGCGTCGAAATAAACAACTTCTATACTCTGTTCCGTTCCAAGCTTGCAGCCGAAGTGCCCTGCTGAAAGCAGTGCGTGATTTCTGTATATACAGCTATTACATTTTAAGACGCAAATTATTGAGCGGAGGAGCGATCTGCCGAAGAAACTCCGACTGCAAGCTTGATATGGAACAGACTATAGCACTCCACTCTTCTACTCTGCAGATCTGAGATCACTACCACCTTGCTGATCTTGCTACCACCTAAGCCCTATATCATTATGAGCAACCAATCACTCACAAAAGGCCTCTACACCAAGGCCCTAAAACTCTACACCACGCTCGGCGCTTGCTCGGCGCGGTGCATTCCCATGGTTGAGCCAAGGTTGAGCCAAGGCCCTAAATACAAGGTTGCACGGACTTGTTTCTACTAAACCTACCAGAATATAGTTTCACGGTTGATTATTTAAATAATTATTCAATCAAAATTTCTTTATTATTATCTCGTAATCATTTATAAGCAATTTTATAAATCAACTTTCAATTTGCTTGCCTTTTACTAGCAAAATAACTTTTCTAGTATTGGGTCAACATAGTGGTGTAGCAGTAGGAACCACATCTGGCAAAACCCCAATGCCTACATACAGCAGAAAAGCAGCCACCAGGCGTCGCTACAGTCGCAGCACAGATGTCGCGCGCGTCGCCAATCGCCAAACTACCGATTTCCATAAGGCTGCATATGTACAGATATGTAACGGAAAGTCGCCCTTAAGGATTACGCTTACATCCTTTGCTTATCAGGTCGATGGTTGGAAATTGGGAGGGTCTCGGCTATTTTCGACCACGGATATGCCTTCATCACATGATGAGGAACATGCTGATAAGCGTTTTATGTGTCATAACAGCACAAAAGTATTTTTAATCATTTTTCAAAAATAGCCGTTCTGCCGTATCTTTCAGTGCAAGGTGCCGTCGGTCATCCCCGACGTGACGTCACGCCGGGGATTTCCAGATTTTCCTACTAGACTTCGACGCCCCCTGGGTTGAGCCAAGCCGCCAAGCTTCCTAGTTGTTATGGCAACAAGAGCGTACCTTATTTTTTTTTAACAGTTCAAAATGACAAATGTAATTTTGGTATGTCAAAACTGGTCAAAACAAACTGAAGTTTGGTGATTTGTTTTTCAATTAAAAAAACTTTTCAAAAAAACGTAATTAAAAACTTAAAAAAAAAACTATTTTTTCACATTTTGAGCAGTACGTACTGTACGTAGTGGATTTCCAAGTCAAAAATTGCACTACGTACAGTGTACGTACTGTACGTAGTGGTGGCGGCGCCCCTGCATATTTTGACATTTCTACTTACCTTCCGGACCACCAGCCCACGCAAACGATGCAAAATCGAAAATGGCGGTACGGAACACCTGATCAAGGATCGACAAATTCTACTTAAATGCCTTTGATAAAATACAGCAATCTTCAGGTGTCTATTTATTATCCTGTCGTAATGACGCGAACACCCTCGTAAGTATTCACGTACTCCTGCTGGCAGACGGTCCTCCAAAAATTATCTTCAAAGGCATATAGCTGTATTTTCAGTAATTGAAATAGCATCCAGGAATCACTACGCAAGTATTCATCTGGATCCTTAGATATAAACAAATAACTTTAAAGGAATATTGGCTGTTCATGGTCAGATTGCAAAATCCCATGTCATTTACGAAGTACTATTGCAAAGATGAAGAAGACATCACATGGTAATTATGCAAGCATTGGTTACTAAGAAATCACTGCCTTACGAAGCACTAAGCGTTATTTTGGTGTATTATTACACTCCATGACATACGAATCATGTCGTAAGTCATCAAATAGGTGTATCGTTATTATTACAATATAATTTAAGAGGAGATAGATGTCTTCAGGGGAATAAATATTTTTTTCAGTGAAGTATTCATCTGGATCCTTAGATATAAACAAATAACTTTAAAGGAATATTGGCTGTTCATGGTCAGATTGCAAAATCCCATGTCATTTACGAAGTACTATTGCAAAGATGAAGAAGACATCACATGGTAATTATGCAAGCATTGGTTACTAAGAAATCACTGCCTTACGAAGCACTAAGCGTTATTTTGGTGTATTATTACACTCCATGACATACGAATCATGTCGTAAGTCATCAAATAGGTGTATCGTTATTATTACAATATAATTTAAGAGGAGATAGATGTCTTCAGGGGAATAAATATTTTTTTCAGTGTAATATAAATATTACCGGTACTATTGGTCTCCTAATATGAGAAATACCGGTAATATTCGAGTGCAGGGATTGGGTTGTGTGCAGGGGTGAGGGATGCACTCGAACCGAGCTGCGGCGAGGGTATAAAGGGTATATGTATTCATCGCATCAGAAAAACAGGTCGCCTGGGCCCTTATCTTGAGACCAATAGTATGGTACAACTAACCAACATACTCATGGGTATGTTCTGCTTCTGAAATTATAGGAACGATTAGCCAGACTGCAACGAGACTTTAAATGTAGCTTACATGTGTCTTCATCCTTGCAGCTACAATTTTATCTATTGACGATGACGTCTTCTTTTCAATCAGTCTTTATACCAGATATTGTCAAATGATTCTCGGAATCATACACCTTATGGGATCAAAATACACTCTCCAACAGAGTCATAATTGCAGTTGTTAACCACGTGACGCAAATTAACAATACATGCATGTCATTCTTTATTTTATATGCAACAATAAATTCCAAAACATTTGGGCACGAAATGTATGGCGAAATCTAATGAAAACTTATCGTAAGGCGCATGGGTCCGTGACTCCATTCACCGTAAGGAATTACTCACATTTCAACAATGTTCCATCAACCGGTGATTATTGCTACTTACTTAGGTAGAGTTAGGTATTCTGCAGCTTAATGACATAAAAACTTACCTCCGTTTCCATAGTGCGTTGCAATCTTACTGTCCTCACTTCATAATTTCACCGAGTGCAGGGCGCCTCCTTATTTGAATACGTACAGAGCAAGTTACAAATAAAAACTGAACTTTATCGTTAAGGCACTATCACTTGAAACAAAACTACACTTCAAACAACGTTTTGCGACATTACAAGCACGTAAATTCAAATAATTCCTGCCCTCACTCACACCGCACACACCACGTGGCACACCGCGCGCGCAACTGAAGTCCAACGGCTTTCTAACGGTTTTCCTCAAGGTCGCACTATTTCGTCTTCGTGGTGGACCGACTAACACAAATGACGTCACAAGACAATGCAGCCTGCTGATTGGCCTATTTCATCTTCGTGGCAGACCAGCAGCACACACATGACGTCACTCGGGGCATTGACTCAAATCACTGAACCTACACCAGGGTTACGGAGTCAGAGTCGGAGTCCGTTGGAGTCGACAGTTCTGGCCGTAGTCGGAGTCGGTTGGAAACGACAGTTCTGGCCGTAGTCGGAGTCGGAGTCGATATTGGAAGCCAGAGCTGGATTCGGAGTCTGATTCACCGAAAATCTCTTGATTCTGCAGTGTTGGTTCCTACCACCAGTGACGTCAAAACAACTTCTGTAATAATGTAGTGTTTTTTGATAATATCATGTGGAGTTTTTTAGCCCTATGGCAGGGCTGCGGAGTCGATGGATTTTCGGCGACTCTGACTCCGACTCCGATTCCGGCTTTCAAAAACCAGCTTCGACTCCGACTCCGACTCCGGGCAGAATTGTCGACTCCGACCGACTCCAACTCCCGACTCCGACTCCGCAGACCTAGCAGGGCTGCGGAGTCGACAGATTTTCGGCGACTCCGACTCCGACTCCGGCTCGGGTTTCTAAAATAGACTCCGATTCCGACTCCGACTCCGGTCACAACTGTCGACTCCGACCGACTCCGACTCCGACTCCGACTTCGACTCCGCGGCTCTGCCCTATGGGTGTCATTTCACTCAGTTGAGCGTTTTTCGTAATCCGTGACTCGCTTATTAGGTGTAATTTGACCCTCAGTGGTGCCATAATATTCCGGTGTCATTTGAACCCAATGGGGCTCAAATGACACCGGAATATTATGACCAGGGATGCGGAGCCGGAGCCGGAGCCGGAGCCGGAGCCGCCGGAGCCGGCATATTTTGCCCGGAGCCGGAGCCGGAGCCGGAGCCGTGAAACAATATAGCCCGGAGCCGGAGCCGGAGCCGGAGCCGTCAAAAAAGGGGGCGACTCCGGCTCCTTTTCTCAAGAGGAAACATATATAACAGTAGAACAGGAAACAATTATTTACCTAATTCGGTTTGACAGTACAAGGCGTAAAACAATGTGGTATTCAAAATAGCCTTGTTATACAAATACAGAAGCAGCGTGTACCAATCCCATCGCCTTTTTTCTTCCACCCGTATTTTTTTGATCGCGTAGGGGTGACTGAGTAGAAGCCGGAGCCGGAGCCACCGCAGCCGGAGCCGCCGGAGCCGGATCATTTTACTCGGAGCCGGAGCCGGAGCCGGAGCCGCCTTGACATTTCACCCGGAGCCGGAGCCGGAGCCGGAGCCGATTTTTTTCTCCGGAGCCGGAGCCGGAGCCGGAGCCGTCTGAAATTTCCACGGCTCCGCATCCCTGATTATGACACTACCGAGGGTCAAATTACACTCAATAAGTCATTTGAAGGGAATATTATGACACCACTGAGGATCAAATTACACCTAATAAGGGAGTCACGGATTGCGAAAACACTCAACTGTGTGAAATGACACCTATAGGATATAAAAACTCCTCATTATAGCGTCAAAAACGCTTAGATGTGTCATTTTACACTGACACCGTGCAGGATCTTTTGACACGACACCTAAAGTGGGAGTCAAAATTTTGGGAGTCAAATGACCCTTGGGTATGTGATTCTGACCGAGATCAATTTACACTAAAAAACGGTGAATGGACACTGTTTTTCAGAATCGGATTACACCATGGGTGTCAGTTGATTCCCAAATAGGGGATCGTGATTCCCGGGGGGAGTAATTATTTTTCTCCGTGTACTCGCATAGGATTTGTGAGATTTGTTTCATTGCAAAGTTAACAATCTGACCCGTCATCGGCACGACTGCCACAGGTTTTTGGTAAAATCCGGAAATCCGTGCCCGAATACAAAGAAAAATCATCAGTCGCACCCGCTAATAGAATGCATCCGTGGCTGCAGATGCATCCGCGAGTGGATTCAAATCACAAAAATTATCTCTCTAGCCAATTGTCAATTCGTTCTCTAGCCAATTGGTCATATATTTGAAGTTCTCGCTTTTTAATGAGCCGCTTACTGAACGGCGCAAAAGGAAGAATATTTACC